AGTCAGGGGCGGGGCAGTGGGGGCGGTGGGGGGCCCTGAGGGAGGAGAGCCTGGCGAGGGGCCAGCACCTGCCTCCCCGCCACACAGAGCAGCCTCCGGCGGAGGGAGGGCCGGGCTGGGAGGAGTCAGGAGCCACTGCCGGAGGGAGGGCCCCTGAGGGCACAGGCTGTGGAGCGGCAGCGGCTGCAGCCCTAGACTGTTGCCAGGAGGAGGGTCACATCGGCTGGCAGGGTGAGCGAGCCGCCCGGTGGGCTGAGGGCCTGGGGCCGCGTCCTGGCCCCACAGGGACCCTGCTGCTGGGAGAGGCTGGCGGGCGGGGTGGGCGAGGCACCCCCAACTCCTGCGGTGCCCGGGCGTCGAGGCTCGGGCGGGCCAAGTGCAGACGGGCGGGGCGGGCGGAGCCACGGGGGCTCCCGCATGGGCCTGTGGGTGCCGGGGACTCCGTGGGGCAGATGGGGGTCAGGACCAGGAAGGGCAGCCCCCGGGGCAGCCCGCAGCCTGCCTGTTCTCACGCCTCTGTAAGCCGAAGGCTTCCGAAGCTGCCCCGCAGGACCTTTCCATGGCCCCTCGTGACCGTTCCGGGACCTTCAGGACCTGCCGAACCTCAGGCACAGCCGCCTCGAGGGTGGGCACCAGGGGGCGTCCCCAAGCCCTGCCCCCTCCTGCCCCTCTCCTACCCTCGGTGAGACCCGCTCAGCCAGGTTGGCTGAACGCAGGAGTGACGTGAGGGAGGAAGGAATGAATGAGGGAGGTGGCGGCTGCCCGGGCTGGCCCGGGGAACGTCCATCAGGCTGCGGCGGCCGCGGAGCGGCCCAGCCTCCCCTGGGCCACATCCCCCCGAGCTTCACGGGGGCCCCAGTGCAGGGACCCTGGCCCACGGCCGCTGCACACAGCCCTGCACCCTCTCGGCCCCGCAGGACGTGGAGGAAAGGCCCGAGGACCTGTGCCCGGCCCCACGCACTCGCCTGTCACCACGTCTCCCCCAGGCCCTGCGGGTGCAGAAGCAGGACAGGGCGCGGGGACCGCGCAGGGGGGCGGGCACAGGGCTGGCGGCGGGGCCTCTGATGTCCATGGAGCGCCCGCTCAAGGACCCTGGCTCGGTGGTCGGCACGGCCCTTGGCTGGACTCTCCCCGCGGTCGGGGCCGCCAACCGGTTCAGGGCTTCAACTGAGGCCCTATCGTGTGCTGGGCGGCGCCAGCCACCGGCAAGAACCGAGTGCAGCTGACCCCTGAAAGCCCGGGCTTGAGCCCCGGGCCCACTGACATGCACGTCTCCCTCCTGACATGCGCCTGCAGCATCATTCCAGTCCTGCGGTTTTCTTAGTAAGAGCGTCTTGTCTCTGCTGCTGAAGAACAGTATCTAACCCCACACCTCACAGAGTAGCCGTCGAGAAACCCGGTGTTACCAGCAAGGCTTTGGTGCGCAGGCAGCTGCAGGTAGTTAGGTTTAGAGGGAAATCAAAGTTATGGGTGGATTTTTGACCGGGAGGGTGTTGGCACCTCTAACCCCAAGTTGTTCAAGGGTCGACGGCACAAAAGACAAGTGGCAGGAAGAGAACCAGGCGGAGGGAGGAGGCCGGGCAGAAGGAGGGGGCGCAGGAGGGGCCCATGGGGAGGCCTGGTCGCCTGGCGCTGGGAGACGTGCTGGGGACGGTGGGGGTGGGAGCGGCGAGGCCAGGCCCCTCCCCAGGGTCCTGTGGGTGGGGAGCCCGGGTCTCGGGTCCGGAGGCCGGGGCTCCACGCCCGGCTCCGGGCCTCAGTCCCACCCCGGTCACTGGGCGGGCGGGGGGCGCCGAGCACCCCCAGCAGTCTGTGCGGAGGGGGTGAGCTGCGTTCGGGCACGGGGCGGGGGAGCAGGGGCGCCGAGGAGGCAAAGCCCCTGCCCAGGGAAGCAGGAGCTCGGCGCGCAGAGGCTGGACAGGGAGGACGCCAGGGCCCGGGGGCGTTCGGGGCGGGAATGGGGCCACCTGGGAAGGAGGCCTCCGAGGAGCAGGGCCTGAGGGGGCAGGTGGCTGAAGCCACCGCAGGCCAGGGCTAGTGCCCTGCAGCCCTCGTGGGAGCGTCTGGAGGTGTCGACACCCAACACCCACGTCTGGCTCTCACTTCCCTTCCTGGACATTTCCCCAGGCAGCTCGGGGCGTGGGCAGGGGCGAGGGCGGGGAGCCAGTCCCGCTCTGCTGTCCTCAGTCGAGGTGGCCGCTCAGCCCAGGACGCCGGCTGAGGGCAGGGCCGTGCCCACCGTGGGGCCTGGGGCCCCAGCGCAGGGCCGGGCTGCGCTGGGGGTTTGGAACCTCAGGGGAGTGTCCAAAGGAGGTGCACGGAGCCGCGCACACGGCCCGAGTGCGGGCTGCAGCTCAGATGGACTCGGGGCCCCTCCCAGGGCCTGGACCCACCTCATTGTGAAACCCATGTTGTGGGGTGTGGCTGGCATTTTAGAAACTAGGAATATCTCACTTCTGTGTTTGCACCTCGCTGAGCTCTGTTCCATGAAGCCTTTCCCCCCCGATTTCATTTAACGGGGTGACATTGGCTCCAAACACTCTATGCTGTCAGGGATACAGGGACGTCGCTCCGCTGCCTGCCCTCGGCCGCGCTCCCCGCCCGGGGCCCGGCCTCCCTCGGTCACCGCGTAGCCCCCCCCCACCGCCATCCCCTCTGGCGACCACCTGTCTGTTGCCTTGTGTCTATGAATCTGTTTTCGCGTGTTGCTTTTTGTTTCATGTCCCCCATATGCACGAACTCCCCCCCGTGGGCGGTGTTTGTCCTCCTCTGCCTGACGTGCTGCACGCGGCCCGCGTGGTGCTCTTGGCGCCCGCCCGCACTGCCACCGGTGACGGTGCGTCGCCCTTGCTTGGGCGGGGCAGGGGGCCGTGCATGCGGGCCCCGCCTCCCGGCGTCCGCACCTCCATCGCTGCCACGTCGTGGCCGCTGTGAAAGACGCTCCCGTGAACGGGGAGGTTCATATGTCATTATGAGAAAGCCTTTTCTTTTATTTTTCGGCGAAGTCCCCAGAAGAGGAATTGCTGAGTTCCATGGGACGCTCTTCCTCCCTGTGAGACGCCTGCACGCGTGTCGCTCAGGGACAGCCGCCGCTTCCGCTCCCACGCCCAGGCCGGAGGTTCCCTTTCCTCCCTGCCCCCGCCGTGGCCGGGGAGACGTCACACACACCAGTCCTGGATCCTGGGTGTTTCTCGGGTGGGCTCCCCGCTCCGGGGCCTCTACAATGCCCGGCGCCGCCATCTGCCCCGAATCCCACCCAGCGGTCAGCGGGGCCGCAGGGGCCAGCAGGGCGGGCCGACCCCGGGGAGCTGGGAGGCTGCCGTGGCGGGGTCCCCAGTGCACACAGATCTCTCTGCAGGGGGCTGCGCAGGTCTTTCCGTGCAGGTGGAAGGGCGGCTTTCTGCTTCCTGTGCGGGAAGTGGAGGGAGGGGGCCTCCGCTCTCCTCCCCACAGCAGCCTCCCCGGCTGGAAACACAGGGCCCCTGGCAATCGAGCTCTTGCTTCTGCAGCCGCCCAACCACCGCAGGGGGGGCCGCAGGCCCGCTGGCGTCCCTCGGAGGGGTTGGTGCCGCACTCCCAGGCGGAGGCCGGCCGGTGTCCCCATCCTGGACGCACTCCCCGCACTGGGGCCCCGCACAGGCAGGGGGGCCCTGTGGCCGTTTGGGTGGGACCAAGGCTTCACTCCCAAGCTTTTCTCAGACGCACCTCAGGGGACAGAGGTGAGGGCCTCGGAGCAGCAGCTCTTGGGCTGGGGGCCTGGCAGGTCGCAGGGTTTCAGGGAGGGAGGCGGCTGGGGGGGCGGGGCCGGCAGGAAGGGTGGGGGTCCGGCCCTGGGCGGGGGGTCAGAGGGACTCGGCCCTGGGATAAAGGGAGGCGTCACAGAACAGGGACAGAAACGAGCAGTGCCCATCAGACGTCAGGCACGCAGGGAGGCGGGAGGGCCCGGGGGGCCTGGGGAGATCTTACTCCCGGGAAAAGGAAATTTTTATGAAATTTTAATTGCCAGCAAATGTGCCCTTTTAAAATCTGAAAGGGCTGGAACGGCTTGTTTGCTGGAATGTTCCTGTTCCGGGCTGAAACCGAGCGCCCGCCAGCCTGTGGCCTGCGCATGCGGGTCCCAGGGGCCCAGCCTGGTGGTACTCAGGAGCCCGATGACTCAGCGGACGCTGAGATAGGTCTTCCCTCCTGTGCGTGTGTGTGCGTGTGTGCGTGTGTGCGTGTCTGGGGGTGGCGTTGGGCAGGGGAGTGGGGCCAGCCCAGCCTGGCCCGGGGCCCTCCCGGGGGGCTGACCCCTCCCGTTCCCCACCTAAAGAACAGGGAGCCTCAGGGGCTGCGCTCGTCGGGGAGGGAAGCCGCTGCCCCCAGGTCCCTCCAGCCAGTGGAGCCAAGTTGGGGGGCTGGGAGGGGGTGTGGGGGGGGCGTGGGGGCCGTGTGCCCGCTGGTGGGGGGCACCGAGGTCGGCGCAGCTCAGGGCGGGTCCGCAGCCCTCCTCGGCGTCGGCTGCGGTCACGGGGAGGCCTGGCCCAGACCCGGCCCCCGGCCCCGGTCGGCAGGCCCCAGGGGCCGGACCTGCATGCTGGAGCGCGGGCACGGGGGCCGGGGGGGCGTGGACGGCGTGGGGCGGGGGTTGCAGGAGCTCCCGATGAGGCGGACGAGGGGGTGGAGGGGCCCGGTGCCACCCTGAGGCCAGCCTGGGCCTGGAGGGCCGGGCTCCCCGCCGCCGCTCTGACCACAGGAGCTCGGGGCTTCCTGCCCCAGGTGGGGCCTGGGACGGGGCCTCCAGGCCCAGGACAGGGTGGGCGGGGTCCCGGAGGGTTCCGGGCAGCGGGCCTGGGCCACAACCGCTGCCGCCGGGGTGGCCGGTGGGGCGGATGCGACGCGCTGCTGAGTGCCGCCATGGCTCCTGTGTGGGCGCCTCGCGTGCCAGGGCCGGGGCGGGGGCGGGGCGGGAGGAGGGGCCACCCGCCTCACCCCTGCTCCCCTCCCGCAGCCCCAGGACCATGAACAACACCACCTGCCCGCCCTGGTCCCCGGTGTTCACGCATGTCCACTACACCTACCTGGGCCTGCTGCTGGTGCTGGGCCTGCTGCTCAACGGCCTGGCGCTCTGGGTGTTCTGCTGCCGCCTGCGCCAGTGGACAGAGACCCGCGTCTACATGGTCAACCTGGCGGTGGCCGACCTCTGCCTGCTCTGCACCCTGCCCTTCATGGTCTACTCGCTGACCGACAGCCTCCCTGGGGGGGACACCGTGCTGTGCCAGGTCTCCCAGAGCGTCTACCTGGTCAACAGGTACATGAGCATCGGGCTGATCACAGCCATCGCCGTGGACCGCTACGTGGCCGTGCGGCACCCGCTGTGTGCCCGCGGGCTGCGCTCCCCGCGGCAGGCCGGGGCCGTGTGCGTGGCCCTCTGGCTGCTGGTGGTCGGCTCCCTGGGGTTGCGCTGGGCCCTGAAGGACCAGGAGGGCGGCTTCTGCTTCCAGAACCCCACCCGGCAGCACCCCCAGACCGTGGCCTTTTCGCTGCTGGGCTTCTACCTGCCGCTGGTCGTGCTGCTGGCCTGCTCCCTGCAGGTGGTGGCCGCCTTGGGCCGCAGGCTGGACACTGACGCGGGCCCGGCGGAGGCCACCCGCAAGGCCTCCCGCATGGTCTGGGCCAACCTGGCCGTGTTCGTGGTCTGCTTCCTGCCGCTGCACGCGGTGCTGACGTGGCGGCTCGCCACGGGCCTGAGCACCTGCGCCAGCAGGTACGCCCTGTACGTCACCAGCGGGCTCTCGGACGCCAACTGCTGCCTGGACGCCGTCTGCTACTACTACACGGCCAAGGAGTTCCAGGAGGCCTCTGCCCTGACAGGGAGCCCCAGGGCCAAGGCCCCCAAGAGCCAGGACTCCATGTGTGTGACGCTGGCCTAGGAGACGGGCGTGGGGCAGGGGCCGAGTCGTCGGGGCACTCGGGCGGTGCTGCCTGCTGGGGGGCGGGGCCGGCCGGCGGCAAGGAGCCCCCCGACAGGCCCGGAGCCCGCGGGCCCTGTCCTGCGGGCCTGCTGGGCAGCGATGGCCCAGGCATGGAGCCGGGGACGGTGACCGCCCCGCCCCTGGGAGGGAGGACGGACAGGACTGAGGGCCGGAGGACCGTGGCCCCTGGGACAGAGCTGCACACCTGCCGCGTCCAGGGCCTGGCACCCCTGGGCCCCGGGTGCGGGAACCCACTAGGTGCTGCCGCCCCCGGGGGCCGGAATAAAGCTGTCGAACAGGGCTGCCTGACTGAGCTACGCGTGCCGCCCCAGCCCTGGCGTGCCTCCCGTGCGGCGGGAGGCGGGGGCAGGGGGCGTCTCTCCAGGGGGCTCTCCATTGCCCTCCAACCTGCCTCCCACCTGCCCACTTCCCAGCCGCCTGGTCTCCCGCCGGCTCAGGCCCGGACCCCACACACATGCGTAGGTGGGGCCGTGGGGTCTGCCTGGCAGATGCACTCCCGTGCTTCATCCAGGAAAGCCGGGAGCCTGCCTGGAGGAGACGGCAGCTGGGGGCCCAGCCAGGCGGTCTGTGCTGCGGCCGCGCCTCCCTGGCCTCACCTCCAGACTCAGGCGGAAGCGACCGCGGCGGCCCGGCGGCTGCCATGGGCGCTGGTCCAGGTGGGCCTGGGTTCGGGACCCGGCTCTGTGCCCGCCCCCCGCATGCCCTGGCCGCCCAGCCGCCCCCCGCCCTGCTCTCCCGCTGTCCTGTCCCTGAGGAGTGGCCAGCCTCACCCCCCCCACGCAGGGCCCCGATGCCCCCCGCCCCGCCAGACTCCCCGTGTCTGCGCCCCCGGCCCTGCCTGCCACCCACATGGCCCTGCCCTCCGGGAACGGCTGCCGCCCCGGCCTCTGCCACCCCAACCCACGAGGGTCTGGGTTTCCAAAGACCTGAGGGGTCCCCAGAAGGACCTCGCCCCGGGGCGCAGGCCCATGGGGGCCAGGCTGCCGGAATGTCTAGTCCTGTCCTCGGCCAGGTTTGGGAACCAGGAGAACGGGCAGAGCTCGGCCAGGGACTCGGTGCCAGCGCGCCCCCCGCTCTGCCGCCCCGGCACTGGAAGACCAAGGAGGGGGTGCCGGGTGCCGGTGTGGGTCAGCGCCAGCAAAGAGCCTGCGGCTGGATCTCTGGCTCCAGCCACGTGGCAGGGGCCTCCCGGACCCCTGAGCTCAGAGGGGCAGCAGCTGCGCGGCCCCACAGGAGGGGGGAAGGTGCCCTGCCCAGTGCCTCTGCAGGGCCTCCTGGCAGCGGAGGGGCCCTCGGCTCCCGAAGGACCCACCCACCCTCTGTGGATGCACAGGGTCCTCCCTCCAACTGGCCCTTGGGGGCACTGCTCTGCTCCAAGTCTGGGGGGCAACCACGCCTAAACGCAGGTTCCGGGCCCAGGGAACCGCCCGGAGCCACGTGGCTCCTGACCAGAGGGCGGGGCTTCGGGTGGGACCTGAGTGGCAGCGGATCCTGTGCAGAGACAGAGGTGCCTCCGGGCCGCCCCACGTCTGTCCGTCCCTAACAGCCTGTGCTGTCTGTCTGGCCGGGGCTCCGTAGCCGCAAGTCCCTCCTCCGGGGCAGGTCCGCGGCCTGAAGAGGGCTCTTCCTGTCCGAGCCGGCGCAAGGCTGGCCGCCGGTGGTCAGGGGAGACGGCGTCATGGAGGAGGGGCTGCAGCACCCACCAGGGAACCCAGCGGCCCGAGGGCCAGGCCCCACGGTCTTCGCTCCAGCTGCCGGCAGAGCCCCTCCTGAGTGCACGTCCGGCCCGCACGGGGGTGCGTCGGGCAGGGGGCGCGCCGAGGGGCCTGGCACCGCCAGCCGGGGCAGGCTGTGCCCTTGGAGTCAGCCCCACGCGGCGCGGGGTTAACGGTGAAGTTGGACCTCGGTCCCTGCGTTTGGCAAGGAAAGAGTTCAGGGCCAAGAACTCGAACTGGGAGAGGGAGACCATGGAGAGAGGCGGGGAGGCAGAGGCGAGCCCGCAGGGCGGCGGGGACTCAGACCGCAGGTCACAGAGCCGGAGTGGGGCCCTGGGAGCCCAGGAGAGAGGGCGCACAGGGACCTGCCCCAGGGAAGGGCAGAGGCATGGGGGGTGTGGGGAGGGAGGGGGCGCCCTTTACCTTAAGGGTTTCCATCCGGAGGCCCCAGAGGAGGGTTTCAGAAGATCGTGCGTCCGCTTCCCAGGTGTGTCCCCTCAGGGTTGCGGCCTCCGCCGGGCGGCCGGCGCCGGGTAGGGGACCTCAGTCACCGCAGCTGGCCCCACGCGCGCCCGGGCGCTGCTCCGCGGCCTGGCTGTGCCGCTTTGCTGGGCCTGGGGCTGAAACACAGCTGAACCTGGATGTTGCCGCTGGTTTAACCAAGAGGCTGCTGTGGCCCGCGGCCCTGCCCGTGTTCCCGAGGTGTCTGGTGCGGGTCGGAGCCGCCCTGTCTCGGGAGGCTCGTGTGGGGCGCACGGGAGGCTATTGCCAGGCCCCTTCGCCCCTGCTCGGAGGGGTCTCAGCCGCAGGACCGGTGACCTGAATGTTGTTTGCCCAGCTCTGCCGGTGGCTGGGCCCCGGGGCTTTCCACTCCTGTGCCGTCAGTTCCTGGCCCGAGGTCCCTGTGCTGCCCCTGCCTGCGTCACCTCGTGGCCACTCTGCCCCAGGAGCCCCTCCTTGGGCTGCCTGCCTCCTCTGGAGCGCGCAGCGGGATGCAGAGCCCAGCCTGACGCAGGAAACCGCCACCCACGTCCCCAGAGCTGCCGTCCAGACAAAAGCGTAGCGAGCCACCTCGCCGCCCCCGCCCCGTCTTGTGGGGCCAGGCCCCCCCCGGCCTGGGAGAGGCCACCCTGGCACTCGCCGCAGGCAGGAGGGGCGCCCCCGCCCGGCCCTCAGGGCGCTGCCACCGCCGCGCCCACTCGCAGCCCCAGCCCAGCGGTGCAGACCGACGGCTCCACACCGCGCTGGGCGTCTGCAGGGCGTCAGGAGCGGGCGGCCTCCCTCCTCGCCCAGGTGCCCGAGGCTGAGGCCCTGTTCCTGCCCCTCGCCCTGCCCCCTCCAGGTGCCCCTGGGGACGGTCCCCCCACCCCAAGGGGCGTCGCCTGACCTCCCACAGGCCACGCGCTCACAGCCCCCTCAGCCAGACCCTCGGGCCGGCCTGGCCGGGCTCAGGCCTGCGCCCCCAGGGCTGCTGTGTTGGGGTGGCCACCTCCTGCTCAGCCAGAATACACCCCTGGTCGGGGGGCTCAGAAGCCCCTTTGGGACGGAGATTTGCACACAGCAGCTTCCACAGAGCTCCCTTCCCAGCCCCACCCAAGGGGGGCGAGTATAGCAGGACTGGCTGCTGTGGGTGCCCGGCCTCGGAGGGCCGCTGGCCCTTCTGTCCCCAAGGGGGTCCCGGGCAGCGCCCCACAGCGCCCACTGCGCCGTCCCCTCTTGACGGAGCGGGTGCCCGGAGCCCCGTGCGGCAGCTGCGGGCAGCGGGAGCGCCGGCCCAGGGTCGCACGTTCCCCTGGGGGTGGCTGGCTGGCCGGCTGCCAGCCATGAACCACAGGGCCTTCCTGTGGGGGCTGCCCAGCAGGTGCCAACCGCAGGGGCCAGGGAGGGGGGCCGCGGCCCCGCCAGGGAGGCCTTGCGTGCGAGGCCGGGGTCCCCGGGCTCCATCTGGCCCGAGCTCCAGGCCACCGCAAAGCGCAGCCAGGAAGGAAGCGTGGCAGGTGGCGTGCACCGCAGGCGGGGCTGGCCGGGCACAGGTGGAAGGAACCGCATGACCCCGCCCCTGAGGAGCGCGTGAGGCAGCGACCTGCAGAGCGGCCTGGCTGAGCGCACCGGGCCCTGGCCCAGGGCCCCGAGGCCCCCGCCGTCCCAGATCGGTGAGTGCCCACGGGTCCGGCCTGGCCTGCCCTCGCCCTGTCGGCCGCCTCGGGGGCTCCCAGGAGCAGGGTGCGGGGCCGGCCCCCGTCCGTCCTCCTCCGTCCCTGGCCGCGCCCTTCCTGAGCTCGGCGGGTCCCGGCCACACCCGAGCCGGGGCAGCGTGGGGGCCTGCGCCCGGGGGAAGGAGCGTGTTGCCCGCTCAGCCTCCCCGTGGGCCCGCGGCTGGGCCCTGGCCCCTGGGCAGGCCACAGGGCCCGGGGGGCAGGGGCCGGGTTGGCTGAAGCGCCCGGTGAAGAGGCCCAGAGAGCAGCCCCCACAGGGCCCCTGCCTGGCCGGGCGCCGCGGGGTGGGGCGGGGCGTGCGCTGGTTGGGGGGGCGCGGTGGAGCCCCTGGGGCACAACATGGGGGCGGGGGAGGGGAGGGAGGCAGAGAAGCCGCAGCGCCCCCCTCCCTCCCCCCAGGAGCGGCTGGCCGGGCAGGTGCGCCCCGGCCCGCTCGTGGCACCCAGGCTGCCGGGCATGGCGCCCGTGGGCGACGGCCCTGCCAACAGCTCCGCCAACGGCTCCAGCGGCTGCAGCACAGACAGGAGCGCCTCCCTGCAGATGGCAACCAGCGCCTCCATCGGCCTCATCCTGGCGCTGGGCCTGCTGCTCAACGGCCTGGCGCTCTGGGTGTTCTGCTGCCGCCTGCGTCGGTGGACGGAGACCCGCGTCTACATGGTCAACCTGGCGGTGGCCGACTACCTGCTGCTGCTGAGCCTGCCGGGGGTCCTGCACACGCTGGGCGAGGCGCCGGGGACGCAGGAGGGCGCCCTGTGCAGGGTCCTGCAGGGCTTCTATTACATCAACACCTACATGAGCATGTGGCTCCTCACGGCCATCGCCGCCGACCGCTACGCCGCCCTGCGCTTCCCACTGCGGGCCCGGAACTGGCGCAGCCCCCGCCAGGCCGCCCTCACCTGCGCGGCCCTCTGGGTGCTGGTCGTCGGAGCCGTGGCCCTGCCCGTGGCCTGGCAGGGCCCGGGAGAGAGCTTCTGCTTCGGGAAGGGCCGCACGCGGGGCCCCAGGGCCCTGGGCTTCTCCCTGCTCCTCTTCTCCCTCCCGCTGACCGTCCTGAGCTTCTGCTCCGGCCAGGTCCTCCGGCACCTGCTCCGCAAGTGGGCGCGGGCACAGCCCCAGGCCGCCGCCCCCATCCTCAGGGCCCTCTGCGTGGTGACCGCCAACCTGGCCACCTTCATGCTCTGCTTCCTCCCGCTGCATGTGGCCTTGCTGGCCACGCTCGTGGTCCAGTGGACGGGCGCGGCCTGCCCCACTGTCCAGAGGGTAGCGACCTTCGTGCAGGTGGCCTCCCGCATCGCCAACGCCAACTGCTGCCTGGACGCCGTCTGCTACTATTTCGTGGCCACGGAGTTCCAGGAGGAGGTGGGGGCCGTGCTCGCCAGGCCCCCGCTCCCCAGGGGGAGAGCGCCGGGCGCTGCTGCCTGCGGCGCCCCCGTCCTGGGCGCCCGGGGGAGCAGCACGGAAGGGGACCCCCGCACGGCCCAGGGCGCCCCAGGCCGCCCCGGAGCCTCCACCTTCCCACTGCTGCCGTGTCCACGAGAAGCAGCCGCCCTCGGTGCGGCGTGACCAGCCGCCACCTCAGGCTACGGGTCCTGGGGCCGGGCTTCCCCGCTGCCAGTAGAATTTGACGCAACAACGGAAGGATTGCGACCACACGGGTCTTTTCCCTTGAAGCTCAGCCTCTCGGGGGCCTCTCCGTTGTCCCCTCTCAAGCGCGATGGTGCAGAGTGACCCCCGTTCCCTCCAGGTGACCCCAACCTCCGTCTCCTCCCTCCGAGTGCCAGGCGTCCTCAGGAGAGTGTCGCCGGAAAAGGAGCCCTCATCTCTCCTGTCACCTCCGGCCACAACGGGAGGCCGACGTCCAGACAGCTCAGGGCCGCCGCCCCCGCGCGGGTCCCCCTTAAAGAGACACAGCCGCCCAGTGAAATTGAAGAAGTCCTTTTTTTTTTTTAAAGAAGGGGAAGCTTGGATCCTCGCGGAGCGTGAAAGAGGCCCCCTTCCTTGCCCTCGCCTCGCCAGCCCCAGGCAGGGTCCCGCGCACGCCCCTCACAGCCCCCTCGCCCGCCCCCCGCCCGCAGGCTCAAGCAGGGGGGGCCCGGGCCTGACGCTGCAGCATCGCGGGCGACGGGCTGCGAGGGGCTGAGAGGAGGCCCCGGGGACCCTGCCTGTCCCCCCGACATTGTGGGTTGAAGGCCGCGCCCACCCCGCCTGGGTAAGAATCAAACCACGGGGCCAGCGCACCCCCGGCTCTGAGAAGCCCTGAGGGGCTCCTGTGGGCACTGGAGGCCCCCCGCGGGGGCCCTGGCAGCAGCGGTGGGTGCTCCCGCGGGCCTCAGGTGCCCGTGACGGGAGGGAGGGGGGCCCGCCTCCCCCCTCGCCTCGCTCCCCGCATCGCCCCGCGGTGCGGTCCCGGCCGCTCCCCAGCCCTCGCAGGGAGAGCTGTCCCGGCAGAACGGGGGAGACCGGCCCGGGCTGGGCGGTGCCCCCGCCAGACCCGCCTTCCTGCAGGGCCACCGGCCTCCGCCCGAGCCAAGGCCCAGAGCCCTGGGCCCGCGCGCTGTCCATACGGGGCTGGCGGTCAGAGCAGCCATGCGCGTGCAGGCCCCACGGCGGCACGGGCTCGCCGGGCATCCTGGCCCACTGGCCGCGGCAGCCGCTCACCCGCACCCCACGTGAGCGCTGCATGAGGCCCGGGGGGGCTCCTGTCCCCTGCTCTCCCTTCGTGGGCTGCCTGCTGGCCGTGTGGGCTGCCATCCTGCCCATGTGTGCCTGCTCCCCCACCCCGGGGACCGCGCATCCCAGTCCCTGAAGAGGGTGCTCCTCGTCGCGGGGGAGGGGCAAACCCTGAGCTGTGAGCGACCGGACCCCTGACCCCCGCCATCCGGCTCAGCCCAGGGCGGTGGTGAAGCCGCCCGGGCTGCCGCGGCCGCTGAGTGTGGCCCGACCCCGCTGCCCCCGCTGCCCCCGCCCCAGCAGCCACCAGCCCGGGTCTGACTGCAGGAAGACACGGGGGGCCGACCCCGGGGACCTCGCAAAGGCCCAGGGAGAAGGAGGGCCCGGGGCTCCGGCTGTGAGCACACTCGTGGGAGCAGCGCTGGCTCAGCCTGCGGTGCCTTAGTGCCCCTATGGCTCCTTCTCCCGGGGGGCAGCGCCTCAGGCACCTTCCGCACTGATCCGTTCCCGTTCCTTTGGGGAATCCGGTGCCTGAGGCCCAGGCCCTCCCAGCCGGGGGGCGGTGTTGGGGGCCCCAGGCTGCCCACTGAGGGCAGCCAGCCCAGGTCCGTTTCGGGGGGGCGGCGGGGGGGTGCCGTCCCAGGGCTGGGAACTGGTGCTCCAAGCCCTGGAACCATGGCCGAGCTGGGTCGCTGGCCTCGGTGCTGGGCGCCTTGCTCCCGGCTGGACAGACCCGGCAGGCGCAGCGTTGGGGGCACGGGCAGGCGGCCCCGCCCCTGCCTCTCCCCGCGCAGCTGCGCCCAGCCGTGGCCGGGCGGCTAGGTAATTTAGGGAGGGCATGTGAATGCGAACTGTGACCTAAATGGGCTTCAGAGGAGTGGCAAGCTCAGCAGAGACGCAGCCAAAGTGTGAGCAGGCAGGGCCGGGGAGGGGACCCCGAGGGGCGCCAGCCAGCGGCACCCCCAGCCGCCCGTGGGGCGCCAGGCCACGATCCCGACGGCCGGGGACGATCTCCACCCCGACGGCTGGCGCTGGGACGGGCTCCGTCCTCTCCCGCGGGTGGAACGCCGCACGGCGGGCTCTCCAGCCTCAGGCACCGCCTTCCGTCAGCGCTGGGGCCGGGAGTCGGGCGCCAGCGCCTGGGGCGGGGCGGGGGGCGCGGCGCGGCCAGGCTCTGGGGGGCCGACTCCGGGGTCACAGTCTCCTCCTCGCTGCCCCCTCCATGGCTGAAGGGGTGAGGGAGCTCCGTGGGCCTGTTTGGAAGGGCACAGGTCCCCTCGTGGGGGCCCAGGTCCCACAGCGGCCCGCCCGCTGGGCCCGCCTGCCGTGGCCGCGCTGGGCTTGGCCTGGGCGCCCGTGCGCCAGGCCGGCAGAGCAGCCCCCAGTGGTCCCGCTGGCCCTCGCCGGGCTCCCAGCGCAGGTCCGGTGACCTGCATCCCAGCCCTCTCCTCTCAGCCCGCCTGCGTCCCCGGTGTGGGTCCAGGGTCAGCCTGCACAGGCGTGGGGCTCAGGGCGTGACTGCAGGCGGGCACCCGCGGGCACGTCCGGACATCGGCGGTCAGGCCCCTGCCTTCAGCGCCGGGGGATCGCAGAGCATCGGAGGCCAAGTGGCTGCCCTACCCCCGCCCCAGCCCCCGGGAGCTGGAGCCCCAGGGCCTGGCCAGGACCCCTGGCCAGGGCCGTTGGGGTCCAGGGCGGGTACCCCTCAGGCGTCCTGTGCAGATGCAGCACCTTTAAGACTCCCACAAACAGCCGAGGACCCGGAAGGGCCCCCCCGCCGCGCACCGTCTGTCCGAGTGACCCTGAGAAACAGCCGCAGCGTTGGCCCGAGGCCCCGCCGGCGCAGGCACCGCAGGCCTGGGCCCCTCTGTCGGGGACACTGAGGCCAGGCCACGAGGCCCCCATCTGAACACCGGCCGGCTCAGCCTGGGGGGGCTGTTGCCCAGGCCTGGGGAGCCCCAGGAAAAAGGCCTGAGTCCCGGGCGCTGGCCTGGGGCCTGGGGGTGAGGGAGCCTTGGCAAGGACAGGATGTGGGCCCGCCGCCTGTGACGGGCTCTGAAAACCGGCCACCCTCGTCGGGGCTGCGGCCGTGAAGGCCCGAGCCGAGGCCTCACCACAGGACGTGGGTCCTGCTGGCGGTGACTCAGGGCGTTCGCTCTGACCGGCCGTGGGGAGGAGTAGCCGGTGGCGGGGAGTGGCCGGCTCGCCTGTTGCCGGACAGGCCTCGGTGTCCCCGTGGGCCAGGGGAGGGCGCCGGGTCGCAGGTTTCCTGCTTCCCACGGACGCAGACACGGAGCTTCCCCCTCCGGGGCTGACGGCCGGGGAGCCGCTCCGAACCGGGGCACGGGGCGGTGGGTGGAGGCTTCCCACCGCCCTTGGGCCGCAGGCAGGTGGGGCCCGAGGGGGCGCCTGCCGCAGACCCTGCAACGCAGGCTGCTCCCCCAACAGGGCGGCTTCGTCCCCGCGCGGCCCAGAGGCCTGCGGGGTAGCTCTGCGGCGCGGACGCCCCGGTGAGGAGCCGGAGCCGGCATGGCCGGCCTCCCCCGCCCCCCAACAAGGGCGCAGCTCCGCGGGGTTGGGGGGCAGCCCGCCGTGCCGAAGTGCGGGGGAGGCTGCGCTTAACGCAACTTCACTCACAGGACGCGCAGGCCGACCCTCGGCTGCACGGCAGGCCCTGTGGGCACGGCACCGGCCGCGGCCGCTCTCTCGCCGTGTGGACCGGTCCCCCGAGCTGCAGCGCTGAGGACAGCACAGGGCCAGCTCTTTTTCAACATTTAAGTGTCTTGGGGCAACACTGGTTTGAAAACATGCAAACTTCAGGTGTTCGAGATAATTCGACCTCCGGGCCCCCGGTGGGGGGCTGCCCGTCTGAAGCCTAATCTTCTGTCATCTTGTTCTCGACCCTGCGACCCCGTCGTTCCGTGGCACTGGGCCAGGGGTTTGAGGACGGCTCTGGGCTCCGCGCCGCCGCCGCGCCGGCCCCCGGCGTCCAGGCCGCTCTTCTGCGGCCCCTGCCTGGGGGTAGCAGCCCCTCCCGCTCCGAGCAAGGCAGCCTCGGGGTCCGGAGCCCGAGAGGGGGGCCTTCCTGAGCGGCCCTTGACGCAGCCAGAGGCACCTTCGCAGAGGGGTTGGGTCATTTGGGGTCAAGTCTGAGTTCTAGGGTGGGAAGTCGGGATGAACGCGTGCAGGGAAGTTGGGGGTCCGGGCCCGGGGCGGGAAACCCGCCTCTTGGGGTGTTTAAAGGAACAGCTACGGGGAGTTGGTTGGCAGGTCTGGGCCCGTCCTCCCAGGGCGGACCATGGAACCCTCACTTAGGAGGGGAAAAACTAAACCAGAAAATGAGAGCCATTCCAGCAGAGAGAAGCGTCTTGCGCTGGCAGCCCGCCCCCGCCCCAGGCGGCAGGGCACCTCGGGGTGACCCCCTGACCTGGGAGCCCGTGCACTGGGACTCCAAGACCGTGACTGGGTCCCCGGGAAGCCAGAGGCGGGTGGGAGGGTGTGGGGCGCACAGGCAACAGGGAGAGGTGGGTGGGGCTGGGCTGTGGGGTGGGGTCTGTGTCAAGTGCGGCGTCCACATCCCGGGTACCCGGCTGGACTGTGGGGACATGGTGGAGGGACCGCTCCCCCCGACACCATGGAACGAGGGCCTGCGCACTGCCCTTGGGCAGCACAGACGGGACCAGCTGCGCGGGGCCTGAGGGGTGGTCCGAGCCCACAGAGGCTGCGGGTTTGAATGAATAGAGCCTCCGCCAGACAGCAAAGGGGTCAGCGCTTTAGTAAGGCCCTGTGGGACCAGGCCTGCAGGCCAGACAGGTCGGCGCCCCCCGGCGGTCAGCACGGGGCACCGCACCTGAAAATGCTCCCGGGACACTCCGGGGCGCAGGGTCTGAGTAACCCCGAAACCTGAGGCAGGCTCCGCATCCTCCGTGACGCAGGAGTGCGCGGTGGGAGGTCAGGCCGGCGTTCCAGGCGACGACGGAAAACGTATTCACGCAGGAGCCTGCCAGTCGGGGCGGGGGCAGGCAGGCTCCTGTCCCCGAGCGGGTGCTCCGTCCCCGGGGGCCGCAGGGACCCGCCGCACTGGGCGGCCCCCAGCGCGCAGCGAGAAGGCGGCCCTCTGGCCCGGCGGGACGAGGAAGCCACCAAAGCAGCCAGCTTCCCCTCGAACCATCTTGTTGCCGGAACAGGGGCCCTGACTCTACATGAATCACAGTGTAAACGTACACGGTTGGTGGGACTTACACAGGGCACAGAAATGACACTGGTCAACGAGCGGCCGGGTGGGGCCCATCCCGCGACCTTGCCGCGACCTTCCCGCTCCCTTTTCTGCCCCCTCGGCAACTGGGTCACAAGACGCAGACTTTCAGCAACGTCACGTTCGGCGGGAAAGCCGATTGAAGGCGACGCTGGCCGCTCGGGGCGAAAGCAAGACTGCGGATCATTGAGGCAACTTCCGATTTCGAGAAGGACCTTCGTGCCGGCAGGCCCGTCCCGGGGTCTGTCCAGAGGGGGTTAGCGGCTGCGACCGCCCCGGGGCTCGGGCTAAAAATTATTTTCCAACATAGGTTTTAGCACATTTAGAGCTGATGATCTTCACAGAGAAATGTTTTCTAAAAAACGATTTAACCCTTTATACACATCAGTTCTGTGTAAGTTTAAACTTAACTTGAAATGCAAACCTACACAGTGTCCATTCAATGTTTCTCTGACATTTCTGGTACCGCGTGGGGATCATACGGAATCCGAGCCATGGTTCACCTCTAAGTGAAAACGCTTGTTAGCGCGTTTCATCGTTGTACCTTCAGTTACGTGGAAATTCTAATTTTTAAGTCGTCTTCCTTGTTAGCCGTTGGTTTGTCCTGCATAAGAACGGTGTCCTTTCTGTCCAAGGCAGAGCTCCTTCGATGTGACTTTGTTTCCGGCCTTAATGGGTTTGGCTCCACGGGGCCGACGTGAGCCGGAACGGAGACGCGACTCCTCGATGGCTCTCACCAGCCGCCGCCCCCACGCTTTGCTCGCAGCCCACGGGCCTGGCTTCCTCGCGCGGATTGACTGGGAGTTCCCTGGCCGGGCGCCCGCGGTTTCTGTCCAGGAAGCAGCTGTGCAGGGACCAAGGGGATTTTGCACAGGGACGGACGTGCCAGCTCTCCTTCCCCCGGGGGCCCGGGCTGCCCCGCGGGGAGCCCCTCTTTCCTCCAGGGCCACAGCCTCTGCCCTGTGTGCCGCTGCGGTGACGCCCCAGCACGGGGGCTCTGCCCCTGCCCCACAGGCCCTCACTTGAGGGGAGCTGGAGGCCCCCATCCATCAGCACCCGTGCGCTCCGGGCTCATTCTCTGGAAGCTTCTGCCCCACCCCGACAAGCCCCCGTGCAGGCTGTCCCCCTCCACCCCCTTCCAGCGGCCACACGGGGAGGGGAGGGGGCTGGGGCTCGGGCAGAGCGGCGCCTGGCACTGCTAGGCCGGCTGGGGGGCCGCGGAAGCCGGGAGGAGGGTTCTTCTCTCCCGCGATGACGGCCACCTGGCAGCCCAGGGGGGTGACCAGGGCCTGCCCTTCTCGGCTGGGAGACAGGGTGGGGCCTCGGGCTGGGGGGGCCCGGGAGCCCACGAGCTGAGGGGCCTTTGTGCCCTGGTCTGCGGGGAGGGGACGGCTGCGGCCCCTCCAGCCTCGGGGAGAGGAAGCCGGGGTCCGCGCACGAGGCCCCGTGACTGGCAAGGGCCCCCCGGGCACTGAGGGCCTGCGGTCGGCCGCCTGGGGGTCGGGGCTGATGGGCGGGGGCCGCCGTCCGGCCCGCTGCCCGGTCGCTCGGGCCCCAGCCACCACCCACGATGTCCCCACCAGGCCCGGGGTGTCGGGGCCGCTCCGCCGCCCGGGCTGGGGTGCTGGGGGGCCCGGGCGGCCAGGGGCTCGCTGTGGGGCTCTCTGCGTGTGGTCCCCTCAGGCCCCCCCCGGTTCTGACTCTGAGAGAAGAGGCCGGGCGGACGGCGCGGGAAGACAGGGGCGACACACGCAGCCCAGGCTCCCCCCGTGACCCTCCAGCGGGCAGGTCTGGGGACGGTTTATTGATGAACGATCTCGGGGGAGGAAGGCGGGGTGGCGGCGCCCCTCAGCCCCGGGAGGCCCCTGGGTCCAGCCAGGGGCCTGGCCCTCCCTCCTCGGGGCTCACGCGGGGCCTGTCCACTCAGCTGGAGCCCAGTGGCGGCCGCCCCCGCCCCCCGCCCCCCCGCCGCCCGGGTTCCTGGCCGCTGCCCCCCTCGGTGGGCCTCCGGGCGTCCTCAGGTCCTGCGGCCGCCTTCCCCTTGGGGGTCCGGTACTTGTTCTTCTGACTGTACAACAGGTTCTTCTGGAAAAGCCGGGGAAGGTGGCCGTGGTGCAGCAGGACAGCCAGCACCATCCCTGCAGGGGACCAGGCGTCAGACCTCGGGGCCCCGGGCTCCGGGCCACTCAGGACATGGCCTGGGCGCACACGCAGCGGCCCCTCCCTGGCACAGGAGCCTGCACACCTGGGTGGGGGCCTGCACACCTGGGTGGGGGCCTGCACACCTGGGTGGGGGGCTGCGCACCTGGGGAGGCCTGTACATTCAGGGGGTCTTTTCCTGGACCCTGGTCTGGCTCTCCCCAGCCACGCCCTTCCTCCAGGGTGCTACCCCTTGGAGGTGGGGACAAGCCACCGGAGTCCCTGTGGTCTGGGGACCATGCTCCGGGGACCTGGGCCCGGCGCTCTTTGCATCCAACTCCAGAGCCCCTGGCAAAGCCTGTGCGGCGCTGTCTCACCAGGGCCGGCCGCTGACCGCCGCCCGCTCTGGGTCAGGGTTCCCGCGGGTCAGCGGGGACACGGGGAGCCCCGCGGCAGGCAGCGCCCCCGCCCGCCTGCCCAGCACCCTCGGAGGGCCTGCCTCTGCCCCGCAGCCCCCGCCCCCCCCCCCGACCCAGACCCACTGGGCCACTGGCAGCCCCGCCCCCGGGGGCAGAGGGGAAGGTCGCCGGCGGGTCCGAGGAGCAGCCCCCGCCCCGCAGAGCGGGCCGCGAGGGGAGGCCCGTGAGTGACAGGAGCCTGTCCCGGCACCCGCCCCGCCCCGGGGAGCCCCGCGGCCCTCACCTGTCAGGGGGCCCAGCCAGTACACCTGGGCGTACTCCAGCAAGGTGTGGCCCTCGCACGGGAAGGTGACAGAGGCGGCCAGGGCGGGGTTGAAGAAGGCCGAGGTCAGGGGCCCCGCTGCAGAGGAAGCCCGGCCGGAAGGTTGAGGCCCTGCCTGGACCCTCTCCGTCCCTCCTTGTCCCCTCGCGGTGGGGACGTGGGCGGGAAGGCCCGTCGGCCAAGGCCAGAGCCTTCGGGGCGGGAGCAGCCGGGCGCCTCCCTCCGGGACGTCCAATGCCCGTGCTGACCTCCTGCAGACTCACCTCCCCGCTCCTTTTCCAACACCTCCCTCCTCGAGGGAGGCTGTCTTTGAGAGACAGACAGACAGACAGAGACAGGGAGACAGGGACCGAGCCACAGAGAGGGACGAGCCACGCCAGGACTGCGCGGCGGCGGCGGCGGGCGAGGGGAGACCCGGAGCAGCAGCCAGAGCGGGGCCAGAGCGCAGAGGCCCCGGTCGGCAGGCGCCCCAGTGAGCAGGGCTGCGTGTGTGCGGGCAGGTCCGCGCCCGGGGGAGGGCAGGCGCCCGCACACACGCAGCCCGAAGCCGGCCCCCGATGTGCTCCCTGCTCAGCTGAGCCTCGGTGTCCCCTCCTGGGCGGGGGCTCCAGCGGGGCCAGCGCCGCGGAAGGCGAGCCCTCCCTGGAGCCCCCGCTGGAGCTCGGCGTCAGCCCTTCCCGCTGTGCCCCCCACCCCCGGAGCCCGACCGGCCGCAGGCTGGCTGACCTGCAGCCCGCGGTCACGGGCACCCCTCACGCCCAGCACGGGGGGCACCCCAGCCTCCTTCCGGGGAGCCCTGCCGTCCTGCCCCGCCCTGCCCCAAGGGCCCAGGGGCAGAGGGAGTGTGCGAGCCAGCAGGAGCCCCCGAGGGAGCGAACCCCCAGACAGACGGACGGACGGCCGGCCCCAGCCTGGCCCCCCGCCCTGTGTCCCCGCCCAGCTCTGACCCCACCTGGGGACAGCTGGCACGTGGGGCCGGGGGCCGCTGGCTCTCTGCTTCTCCTCGAAGGTGGGACGGTGCTCCTGTCACGTGAGGGCCACCCTCGAGGGGGCCCCAGGACAGGCAACCTCTTCCAAGAACTTAATGCAGAGCTCGGCACGGGCTCCATCCACGGCCGGAGGCTCGGGGCAGCTCCCACGGGGCCCGAGGGACCCATGAGAGTTGGTCAGGAGGCTCACCTGGGCAGGGCTCTGCTGCCGCCTCAGGGTGGCTTAGGGCTGGTGCCAAGAGGGGAGGGGACCCGGGTGAGGAGGAGACGGCAGCGCCTGGCAGCCTCGGTGGGGCCGACAGAGGACGCGGGTGCTGGCCGGCCAGAGCCTGGGCCGGGCCCTGGAGGGACGGCACCGGCGGCCGCCCCCTCCCCCACCCCGGGGGGAGACCCTGCGGGACGGGCAGGAGATGGCGGGTGGCGGAGGGGCCCTCGTGCGGCCTGGGGCGCCCCCCACCCCGTGCCACGTCAGCCCAGCTGGTCATCATCGGCCCCCCAGGCCCCGGGAAGGGGCCGCCCCTCGGCCGGCAGCCCCGGGCAGAGGCCTGAGGGGCCGGCGGGGACCTCGGCCTCACCTGTGTAGGCCATGACGGTGACCAGCAGGGCCACGGCGGGCACCCTGCAGACGGGCGGGCTGCCGCGGAGGCGCAGGAGGCTCAGGTGGAAGACGAAGGCGCAGGCGCCCTCCACCAGCGCGCCGTGGGGCACGGTCGTGCGCAGCGCGGAGCTGCAGTGCGCCGCCATGAGGTTCTGCAGGACGTGCAGGTCGCTGAGCTCCCAGGCCCAGTAGAGCCGGGTCAGGGCGCAGGCCGCCTGCACGCCCAGCGCCTGGGCCGCCAGCTTCAGCAGCGTGCCTGGCAGCGCGGCCTCGGCCAGCAGCAGCTCCTGCAGGGCCACCGCCGGGTTGGCCGACGCCCCGTCGAAGGTGGCCCCGTGCGCCAGGAACAGCAGGAAGAGCAGGGTCAGCAGCAGGTCGGGCCCAAAGCCCCCGGCCCAGGGGCCCAGCTCCGCCAGCATCCGCAGCTCCAGGCAGCAGGCCCCCAGCTGGGCGGCACCCGCCACTTCCCGGGCGAAGCTGGTGTAGGCGCCCGGGGGGAGCAGCGCCTTGGACGCCCTCCTGGCCGCCTGGCAGAGGGCGATGGTGGCCAAGAAGAACGAGAGGGACACGTTCAGACCCGCCATCGGCCCAGGGGCTCCGCTGGGAGCCGGACTGAGCAGGGGACCTGAGCTGACGTGTCAGGGGCCGGCCCACCCCAGGCGCAAGGGTAGGGGAGCCGTGGACGCGTCCACCTGGGCTGGCGCCCTGGGAACGCCACAGCTGCACCCTCCCCTCCATCCCACCTGCTGCCGGCCCAGGAGCAGCTCCGGGAACGCCCACAGCTGCTTCCCCGGGCGTGAGGCACGCCAGGACGCGCACCCCACCCGCCAGCCCGCGCCGGAGACCGGCCGCAGCGGCTCTTCGAAGCCTCCGTCAGGCGCTGTGACTCACGCCCAGGCTCCGGGGCCCCCGGGGCAAGGGTCCCTGGCTCCGCCTGCGCCTGGGCCACCTGCCATCATCTTCCTCCATGAAGGGAGCTGCCTGTGGGGCTGGGCCTCCCCCCCAGGGAAGCCATGGGGGTCCCACGCAGGCTGCTCCGGGCGCCCCGAAAGCGGAACGGGCCGGAAGGGCCCCCTCACCACACGGGGTAACTGCTCCGCGGGACAGCGCAGACGAGTAAAAGCGCTTTCCTAAGAGAGCGAAGCGGCTGGCTGGGGGCTCGGGGGCTTGCTCAGCCCCCGTGGGGAGCACGGTGGGCTTGGGGGAGGGGCCGGTCCCTTGGCGAGGGGGGACCCCCTGTGAGCACCCCCGCACGCCCCCCTCAAGCGCAGAATGGACCCCCTTCCTGAGGACACTGCTGGGCCATGGGCTTCCAGTCCAGAGGGACCGAGAGGCGGGGACAGTGACATCCCACCTGGTGTGACTCTCCATCCCAGGCGTCCAGCTGAGCGGACGCTGGTGGAGAAGGTGCTGAGCCCAGCCTCGCCTGGGGGCCCATCAGCGCCGCGGACACGCGCGACCCCAGCCCTGGGCGGCCCCGCCGGGCGCTGTGGCCGCGCGGCCCACGTGCAGGGTCCACGCAGCGCAGCCTGCGCCCGCGCCCAGCGCAGGGGCTTCCTGTTCTGCCCCCGACCCCGTTCCTCCTGTTTGGATTCTTCTAATCCAACCTCTGCGCCCCGAGGCCCCCCTTGCCCAGGAGGCGGGCTGAGACCCGGGAGGGGCCGCGGCACGGGCGGCCGGGGGCCGGCTGTTTGCCTGGCTGCCCCAGCAGGCAGCGCTGAGGTCCCCGCTTGGCCAGAGGGGCGAGGTTAACCCCAGCGGCCGACCAGGCCCGCCCTGGCCGCGGGCACGCCCGGGGGGCTCCCGGCAGCGGGGCCTGCACCCGTCCTTCCCTCGCGAGACACCCCTGCTCTCTCAGAGCAGCGGGGGAATGTTCTGGAAGCCACAGAGACCAGGAGACTAGACGCAGGCGAGCCAGGGTTCCCTCAGGGACCACGCAGAGAGTGAGTCTGAGCGGGGACTTCCATCCCACCCTCAGGACCCACGGGCCGTTGGTCCGTAGCTGGGACTCCTGCTCCCACCAGGGGCGACCTGGCCTGTGGCCCCCCCCCACCCCGTGTGCACGCCACTGGCCACGGGACACGTGGACAGCGCTGCCCGGCTGCAGACAGCGGTGCGCACGCACGCAAGCTCTGAGGGTGAGCAGTTAGGGTCTTTCCGTTGGTTGCCTAATTGGAATACAGCTGCTATGAGCGCTTTTGATAGATCTTCACAGACAAACGCTTTTCTTTCCAGTAAATACGGAAAACGCCTGGGTCACGGGGCAGGTGGATGCGCGGTGGCGGCGTCGCCGGCCTGGGAGCAGCGTGGAGCTGAACGTCCTGGGGAGGGAGTCCGGGTGGTGACATTTTCTACTTTGCGTTTGTTCGCATTGTTGGTGATTTACGTTGCATTTCCCTGGGAACAGCTGAGGTAAGCGCGTTCTCATGAGCTCATCGATCATTCAACACATTTTGCTCAATGTTCTTATTCTGTGTGTATCTTTTATTCTTGAGTTGTAACGATTCTTCACTTATTCTGGATACAAGTCCTTTGTCCTGGTCATTGTTTTGCAAATATTTTCTGCCAGTTCCTGGCCGGTTTCTTAATGCCTTTTGATAAGCATGTCTAGAAATGTTACAGTTTTGTGTTTTACATTTAGGTCTAAGATCTAGACAACTTCTCAACTTCTTTGAAAAGCATAAGCTCTGAAACCAGTTTCTTTTTTCCTTTTTTTCTTTCTCTTTTGCATATGGGCTCCCCATCACTCCGGCACCATTTGTTGAAAAGAGGACCCACTTTCTACTGAACCAACTTTGCTCCTTGGTCCACCGGGCACTACATGTGTGGGTCTCTTCCCGGGCTCTCTGTTCTGTTCCCCTGATCTGCTGGCTACCCTTCTGCCAAGAGCACACTGGCTTGAGTTTTGAAGCTTATAGTAAGACTTGGCGTCCGATAATGTTGAGCCCAACTTCGCTCTCCTCCATCGATGCCGTGTTGGCTGTTCTGGGTCTTTTGCCTTTCCCTGTAAACCTCAGCCCCAGTGCGTCCACATCTGGGTAGTTTGCTGGATTTTGAAGGGAACTGCACCGAATTTATAGGTCCAATAGGAGGAGCTCACATCTTCACAGTATCAAGTCTTCCAGTCCCTGAGCACAGGTCTCTCCATTTGTTGAGACTGTCTTTGGTTCCTTTCATCTGGGTTTTGTAATTTTTGACATTCAGATCCTGTGCACGTTGTTTGATTTCTACCTTCTTCTCTCTCTTTTTGGTGCTACTGAAAATGGTGGGGGATTTTTCCTATGTTTTTTAAAAAAGATTTTATTTCTTTTTAGAGAAGGGAATGGGGGGAGAAAGGGGAAGAGAAACATCCATGTGTGGTTGCCTCTCACATGCCCCCCATCGGGGACCTGGCCCACAACCCAGGCCTGCGCCCTGACTGGGAATCGAACCAGCGACCCCCTGCTTCGCAGGCTGGCGCTCCGTCCACTGGTCCCCACCAGCCAGCGCTGAAAGTGGTGTTTTTAACAATTTCAAATCCCATAGCTTATTGCTGGGACGTTGAAAAGCAATCGGCTTTTGTCTATTAACTTGTCCCCACACGTCCCCACGACCGGCCGCTGGCTGCTCCGGGTCCCAGGCCTGGGGGCACCGCCTGCCCTGTGCCCTGGGTTCCCTGACGGGGGCCAAGGACTCGGCGCCTGTTGACTCAGCCTCTTCTCGGGGTGGGGACGGGGCTCGCGACTGCCGGACGGCTCGCGGGCCGGGGGCACCGGATGCCTCGGCCTCTTCGGGAGAATCAGAGCCCCCAGGGCGGCCCTTACGTGTCTCCTACTCTGCCCCCCCCCCCCCGGGTTGTATGTGTGAACCCGGGCCGTCCTCCGTCTGGGGCCGAGTCCCACGGACTCTCCGTCCTGGACCGGGCCTCTCACACTGAGGCGTCCTCGGCGCCCCCTCCTCCTGCTCCTCTCCAGCATCTGTCCAATGTCAGAGGCTCTTCTCTTCATGAAGTCTCTCTTCTCGTCTCTTCTTTCGGGGATTGAGCTTTCGTTGCCTGTCTACCAAACCTCTGTCTACCTCCAGGGTCACAAAGTCTTAGTCCCAGAGGTTTTATAGCCTTTGGATCACCTTTACGCCTACGAACTAGTGTGTTAACTTTGAATATGACCTCGTTTATTTTTTTCCTATAGATGTTCCATTTTTTTTCTGTTTCAACCATTTTTTTAAAAAGACTGTCCTTTCTCCATTAAATTACTTAAAAAAAATATTTTAGAAGTTATCAGAAGTGAAATTAACCTATTTTTTTCTGTCAATGTGCAGCCCCGAGAATTTAAAACGTGTGTAGATTTCTGGCACCGCCACTGTTATTAGGATGCAAAACCGTGTAGTCGCCCAAAAAGCCCTCGGGCCACGCCCTCAGCCCTGCCCCCCGGGGACCACTGGCACGTTCTCCAGCGCCACCGCGGTCTTTCTGAGAATGTCGTGTGAGTGGGGACGGCGCAGGGTCCCCTTCGGGGAGGGGCTCCCACCCAGTGAAGAGCCCGTGCGCGCCCCCTCGCGCCCCCACACCGTCCGCGGAGGGACGGACCGGACGGCCTGGCGGCTCGCCGGTGTGGGCTGCAGCCGGGTGCGGAGGGAGGCCGGCGGTGCTCCAGCGAAGATCAAGGCCCTCCCGCCCCTCCCGCCCCTCCCACCCCGAGGCTCCCCCCCGCCCGCCCCATTGCCCCAGGGGAGGTGGGCCCCCGCCCCCCATAACAGACACCAGGCACAGAGAACAGACAGAAGAGGCGGCAGTCGGTTCTGCGTATGGAGCCGCGTTTATTTCTCGGTCGGACACACACAGCACAGGGCCTGGAGCCCAGCACACAGCTGGGGCGCCAGAAGCTGGGGACACTACAGCAGGGTGAGGTCACGGAGCAGGGGCTGGGGCGCGTCACACAACCACGCGGGTGCAAGCCACAGGGGACCTCAGGGGACAGGCAGCCACAGGACACACAGGCCCAGGGAGCGGCCACAGCCGGTCGGGGGAGGAGCCGTGTGGCCGCCCCATCTCACCTCCCTGGGCCCTTCACCCCGGGGCCAAGGACGGCCACCCCCGCCGCCTCCTGGGCGTGTGCACGCGTGTGGTCGGTGAATGGGGCATTGCCATCTTCTGACTCTTCAGAGCACGGGCTGTGCCATTTATGGGCCGCTCAGCACTCCCCGGACACAGGACGGCCCCCCAGCCGCAGGGAAGCAGCTCACCCCGCCCCCGCCCCGCCCGGGGCAGCGAGCCCACTGCAGACAAGGATGGTCCCTCAGGCAGACGAGGCTGCAGCCAAAGCGCGCCCAGCACACAAACAAAACCACCCGCGGGAGGTGGCTTTCTGGGCCCTCCTCCCCGTCCCCCCCCAGCAGAGCAGCTGCCAGGCCCCACTTCGCCCTCTGCGCCCTCCAAGGGGAGGACCCTCAGGGTCGTTCGATCGGCCTTGCTGTCACAGATCTGGAAACTGCCTCCCCGTTTGTTAAACGACTTGTCCCAGCTGACCTGACACGTGGGGCGTCTCGGGCACAGAGACCAGGCTCCCTGACGCTGCACGGGCTTCCCCTCCAGCAGCCCCGAGCG